ATACAAATTTTGCAGGTAGAACATAATTTGACTGCTCGAGCTTCACTTCTTGGCTTAACGGTAAATTCAGACTCCTGGGTCGGGCAGACACCTACGCATCTCCTGTATGCGGTCAAGAGACTTGCTGCTCTGGTTTAGTCTCTGTCACTGGTTAAGTTTACTCGCAGTTGCTATTTACGTTCATACGTAAGCCTTTGGTAATGAATGAATATTGACACGTGATCGTCTGGCTCCAGCACGTGCACAATCTTGAGCAGGCCAAAGTTCGAATGCTAATCATATACAAAACTCGTCATCAAATAATGTAGGTAGTATACAATTTGTGCATGCGTGATCACAGCGGTGGATATTTCTCTATGTAACGAAATTCTGCGACACCTTCATCGGTCACTGCTAGTGCCGATTAAAATCGACGTCCTCTATTTCTTCAGAAAATTAATTCATTAGTTACACAATCCACAAAATAATATTCTCACAAAAATTTTGGATCAAGGTAATTATCGCTCTTACTTTGAGATTAAAGCTTAGGACGATAACCAGAGCTTGTACTCCTACGCAATTATACTGTTGGGTGCTCATCAGAACCATTTCGTCTTCTCAATGGATTTATTATTGGCTCCTGCTTGCTGCGTGACACAAGTTCTTCGGCTCCTGTTTGCTTCTTGACACATGTCGGCTCCTGGCTTGTACCCTAAGGAGTAACAAGATGCAAGTGGGTCCATGGCCAGCAAGTTGAACCACTAGGCGCAATTGCTGCAGAAGTGGAGCACTTGCTTCAACTGTATCTGTCATAAGCTGACGTTTCATCGGTTTGTTTGTTCTGTGTCGTTAGGTACTTGATATGTGGTCACTTGTTATTGTAAATATAAAAGCTATTGTTTGTTTTAAAAAATTCTCTTTCATAAAGAAGGAAATTATTCTCCAAATGAAGTCTGATATAAGCATCATGCTTTCTTGAGGTGACCACAGTGCTTCGCATGGCCATCTATGAGGTCAGCCTAAAATGCTGCGCCGAGTTTAGAATCTTCGATGTAGAACTACGATTTGAGTCAAATATCTAGTGTGAACCACGTTTCTAATCAGCAATCAAGAAGCAAACACGTTTCAAATCAGCGATGAAGACAGAAACACGTTTTGAATCAGTGATCAAGAGTGGACTAGCGCCAAGCTTAAACTGGCTCATCGTGATTGAAAAAGTCCATTGGTTTTACTAGTTCCTCGTTCACTTTAATATGCGAACTGTAACTCCCTGTATAGGGAATTCGCTATCGATTGGCTCTGTTATATATATACTCATATGACCACGAACGCATTCTTGAGGCACGCAAAACATGTCACGTCCATGAACTAGTTTGCCGGTGATCCCGTTTCACGCGTGTCACTTGAAACTTTACTTAATCTCCTACACAATTACTCGTTGGAACTAAATATTTTGTCTATGTACATTTGCAACCTGCATTAATTGTGCACTGTTGGTATTGATGAGATTTTCATGCGTTACGCCGCTTAAAGTACGTTATTTCTGTGTGGTGTAAATAACTTTCCTAAGTGAATATTTCGTTATATTACGCGTTGCTTTAGTTAAAGTTGGTTTCGCGGCGCTGAGGTTAGGTAACCTCATGGTTGAAACTAGTAGTTCAACCATGGGTAACCTAACTACGTACAGAAGTTGGTGCAGCATCATGTGTTTCATGCCTGCTGAAGTCCAAAGCACCTCTCACCTAAATTGCAGAATTGACACTTTAATTAGTTTGGCTTTTGCCTGCCGTGGTTGCAGTCGTTCGCAGACAACAGTCACTCCTGTCTGCTTCACTAGCATTCTATAAAAATATGTAGAATATGTTTTATAATTTTACTACGAGGGCAAATTCCGAAGTATCTGTTGTTACAGTTTAAAAAGGCTTCATCCGATAATATTTACGAGAAAGTATATTCTGCTGATATCAAAGCAAATTAATTGAAACTTAGTACGTAAGTACTTTCTATCGTGAATCCACTAATAGCAGCAGTGGTCGTTAGATGGGTCTGCAGTGGTCAGCACTGGTGTGCAGTGGTCAGCTCTGGTNTGTGTTCTTACCCCCATGTGATGTGTTCTTGCCCCCACGTGCTGTGTTCTGCTCCCATGTTTTTGGATATTATGCACCCTGCACTTTCGAAGGAGGATTCACGACTGCCTCCTAAAATTCATACCCTTATCATAACTTGATGATTAAGTCAAAAGGCACATCGTATACGTCAGTGCAGATTGTATACATACATACAATCTATGTGTATGTATTATACACATAATATGCATTCATGTCACAGCAACGAGAACAAAGTCGAATTCGTTGATCGGGATGACTGTTTGATAGATCATGTGTAGTGTATCTGGTGCGCAAATTTGTGAACTTTCTTCATGCAATTTCCAGTAGTGGAGTTTTACCGGATTTTGTAACGAATTTACCGCTGATTTTATACTTCCACGTAATTATATTTTTCATGATTATCATGGCTTCTCTTCTTATGAGAAATTGAGAAGTTTATTTGAAACTCCTTTACTTCGATGTGCTTCATTGCTGGACTATTGGCAAAACCTGACTATTGATGCAAAGTGGTACAAAATTTTTGATAACGCAATTTAATTAAATTTTATAAACGCGCCTTTTTTCCCAATGTCCTAGTATGTTGTATTTATAATTGAATTTATCATATTTCCCTTCACTTGTGCGTGCTGCTAATGGTTTCTATACTGGTTTGCTTCCTGAACGCTTGCAGCAGAGCGTGAGCGCTGCGTTGCTCGCCAAGGCCAAGTTTGCTGGAGCAAATGCAAGCCTTCGGGGAAAAAACTTGCCCGTCCTTGCAGCAGCACCAGAGGTGTGAGCTCTCAAGAGTTGCTATCAGTCTCTGTATAGTCTATTTTAGCACCGGTCGCAAAGGTACTAAATCCTTCTTGCAGTAATGTTAACCGACATTCTGAACTGCAGTAATGTTAACCGACGTATTATGAACTGCAGTAATGCAGTAATGTTAACCGACGTATTATGATCTGCAGTAATGTTAACCGACGTATTATGATCTGCAGTAATGCAGTAATGTTAACCGACGTATTATGAACTGCAGTAATGCAGTAATGTTAACCGACGTATTAGAATGGCAAATTCTTTAGTTTTTTTTTACTTTACATAGCATTCAGTCAGATGTTTATACAAATTTTCTGGTTGTTTAACAACTGTTTTGAGATTTCCACAGATATTCTAATCAGAAATTTTTTCACTCTGAATTGTAAAATAATTGATTTACAGTATCGTCGAATTACTTATCCCTCACCAAATTACCAAATCATCAGATAATATTCTGAATGATTGTATAATAACCGAAAAGTAATATTATCGGTTCTATCACACTATTAATCAGCGCCTAAGTGCTTGTGGTTAGTTTTTTTCTGGCATTTACATATTAGCCTTGACGAGCCAGCTCTTTTTTTGCGTTACTCTCATGAATAAACATATAGCAGGACCAAGCTGTCGCTCAAGGCGCCGATCTTTACTTGAATTTTTAATAAGCTTCGCGGGACACGAGTGTACGGAGTTCACAGTATTACTTATGAATACCAATGATGTCTTGAGCTGAATACGAAGCATCCAGTCAATCATTCAGGAACCGTACTTTCAAAACTCGCTAAGTGAACGTAAGTACTTACGCTCTATTTTCTTATCTAGACTACGGTATGATTGGTGGATTTTGCTTGAAAGGCCGTCAATGATTGGCTGATGAACTGACGATCTCTTAACTTTTTTGAAAGTATAGGCCCTGGGTTTTAATTAAATGTGCAATATTGCATTCAGATGTCCTACTCCTGCGATTTGAACACCGCTGACAAATAATACAGCTTTCCTAGTATGTGATTGTGTTCTGTTACCGAGTCACTGTTAAAAGTTATGCATTGTATTCCATCGTCGAATAAATCGCCTCGATCAAATGTTTCACTACTTTGGATGAAATTAATTATTGGAATCCAATTCATGGTTTTGTTAATATCATGCAATAATATCTGAGGATTGGTGTGTTTTGCTTAAATGGCCTTCTGTAGCTAACGCGGAACTTTGTTGTTCAGCTCGCTGAGTTATCTTAATTAAGTCAGTGATGCATCTACCGTCATTTCAGTGATTATGACAGCAATAAATTACTTAAAATTACCTTATTAATCACTGCTGCCATAATGTCAATGCCGATACAGCATAACATGATGTTGTTCATACAGCCGCGTATGTCAGCACGAAGCGATTTTATGTCAACACCGCTTGAGGCAGCATTAGATGACCTTCCTTGATTTAATCACTGCCGTACACGTCTGCATGAACTGACATCCCTTCTCATATCAAGGCCGCTTGAGACAGCAAGAAGTAACTTTCTTTGTAACTTAGAGAATTCCAATAGATTTTTAATTTATCCTTGCAGTAGCAGGTTAACCTTACGTTGCCCGATATGGATATTCTCTGCAATTTGAAAATCCCGCTACCCACGGCATCCTGCATTAATTGTCACACTCGATCCTTCAGAATACCGTCATTGTCACACTAGATCCTTCAGAATACCGTCATTGTCACACTAGATCCTTCAGAATACCGTCATTGTCACACTAGATCCTTCCGAATACCGTCACAATTCTTACCGAATAGCGTCAGATCCGTCCGAATACCGTCAGAGTTCATAATTTCGAAACTAACGCACGTTTTCAAGGAATGCCTCGTTCCAACTAACATTTATCACGGAACTCTCATTCGATTCTCCAGTTTGAAACTCTAAGGAAAATTTAATGTTTATTGGTGAATAATATTCAAAGGTACCAAGTTAATGTTCACATTACAATTGCAAAATTCTCCCTTCCTCTCCCCATTTTGTCGTGCCTCCTGAAATTTGTGACAGGATTTGTAAACACAAATAGTCTGGCTTGAGATGTTTGTCATGTCATGTTAATTGTTGTTTGTGTGATGGCGTTCACGTGAATTTTATTTTCCAGGTGAAATGCTCCGAAAAATGGTTGTTTGAAACAAAATAATGTTGAGCTACTTTTGACATTGCGTGAAAACGCTTACGAGCAAATAAAAAAAAAGAAGAAAAAAACTAAATTTCAGTTTTTGTTGTAATTTTTTGGACGCCCAGTTAATTCGTACAAAAAAACTGTTGTGATTTTCATATATGATGTTCTGTGAGGTATTCATTATTGTGCAGTGAAATTTTTATTTCCTAAATAACACATCTACGATGACCATCAGTAAAGATATCCGCAATCTTCTCGAAGGTGAGTCGCAATTTCTTCCATGAATTTTTACTTTTGATTGTGTTCCATTTGAGGAATTGTGTTTTATTTAAGCTTTGTCTTTAATCTTTACCTATTTCTTCACCTTTACGCCTTTGATACATTTTTTCATCATGGTAATAATTGTATAGTTATTTATAACATGCAAGGATGTCAATCTCGTAAATAAGCTGCAGGTTAACAGGAATTAGCACAGCCAATCATGCGACGAAGATGCGTATTGCAATCACGCTGCGTACGTGTGCCGCCTGTGCTGGTAGCGCACACCCTGAGAAATAAGGATAACTTTGTCCAAATAGCGATGCTCTTTTTGCTCGTGTTGTGCATCCAACCAGTTTGTCCATTTGGACGATATGACCATTTGGACGACATGACCATTTGGACGACATGACCATTTGGACGATATGACCATTTGGACGATATGACCATTTGGACGACATGACCATTTGTACGACATGACCATTTGGACGACATGACCATTTGGACGACATGATCATTTGGACGACATGAGCAGTTCATTTTCCTAAGTATACCGTCAGGTTCTGCACACCTGCGCTCGACGCCGCAGGTGTTGCAGGCAACCCTCACGCCTCAGCCGTGCCTCCTCACACGCAGCGTAGCATACTCTTAAACACTTGTGACTTCTAGCCTTACTTGTTGCTACTTCGCGACACTTGACTTGTTACTACTTAGTGGTACTTGGCGTAGTACTACTTATTGGTACTTGTCGTAGTACTACTTAGTGGTACTTGTCGTAGTACTACTTAGTGGAACTTTGCGCAGTACACTTAGTTGTACACTGTCTCACATTCGAGGGAACATCAATATTGTGGGTGTAGAATTCTGAATTTGCGGACGTCGATCCATTCACTCAATCATCATCACACTCTCCCACTTTTCTTTAAATCCTCACTATTATGGAAGGTAATTATTTTCACATAGTCATTAATACTAGCTGCGCCACTACATTCCCTAGGGACTTTTTTTAAACGCATTTATCATTGTGTATAGACTGTAAACATATTATTTATTTAATTATGTACTAACTGTAAATATGCTTATGTAATTAATAGCGGCATCTCATTATCGTTGCGAATTCATCTTAAGAAATAAATGCCTCTTTCTATTGTCTCCATTCATATGACGTGAACCGGAAAACTGGCTGAGGACGTGACTCAGACACATGCAATACGTTGCTAGTCCTTATAGCCATCCTCTGCTTCAGTTTGGCGTTCTCGACGCAACGTGCTTTCTGTTGAGGTGTGGAAGATATCAAACGAACAAAAAAACTTATCACCCGTGAAATTATATACCTCAAAGAAGAATTGGTATGATTGTTTTAGTAAGAATAGGTAGTTAGCGTGAATGAAACACTGATGAACTACATGGCGTTTATTAAGTATAGAAACCCTGAAGCGGCGTGTACCTGTGCCGAAAAAGTTGACTGCACTGCACTTGCATGTTGTACAATCGTACAGTCCTGAATTTGTTGCGAAACTCCTACTCCCTGAAAATTCTATCGTTATTTTGGGTTTAGGGTGAAGGTCATTGCGTTATTGTAGGTTTGTTTTCATGACTATGGCTTGTTGCTTATTAATTTCTAAAGTCACTCAAGTTATCAGTCATGATACGAAAATAAACACCGGATCCTTGCTGTGACGTGTTGCCGACGTCACGCTCGACTCGGGAGCCAAATAACATCCGACCTCGGCTCCCAGCTGCAAGCAGTCGACAAGAGATCTTGCATTTTGGTCTCGTGTGAACGCGAAACTCATGCGCCAGCACTAAGATACAAACATTGGTTTTTTTTGGAATATTTTGAAATATTAGGACTTGAATATATTTTGGTCCGAGTTCCAAATATTATGACCGCAGATAATCGCGGACATATTTTCCTAAAAAGCGTAACTCATTTTGCTCTTCGTGACGTAGGATCCTAAAATAGATTTTACATGCATTGAGGTCACCGTCTTGAATTAAATTAATGGAATAAATGAGAACAATTATTACTGAACAGCAAACCCACGTAAAATCGCCTTGGTTTTGGCAAAACCAAGTTGTGGCAAAACTCCTATTACCTGAAAATTCTATCGTTATTTAGGGTTTCGGGTGAAGGTCATTGCGTTATTTTGAAGCAACGTGTATAAGGGTTCCTATCACATCAACCCTTCTGCTCATTGTGTTCTGAGCCTCCACGAGGTGCGATAAGGTAATGTCCTCCATTGATACTCTTAACATGGCTGCGATGACCCCAACAAGGCGAGGGAGTGACGGGTGCGCGTACAAATTTATCCTCACAATGAAGGTGCGGCAGTCGTTCTTCCATTGCGTGCGTTTGGCGAAGTTGTCAGCCAGGATATGCGTCATGCTCCCTTGCGCATCGGCAGCTCTGCACGACAACCTGACATTGATGTTGACTGACAATTGTCCTCTGACTTGATGACGTACTACTAATATAGTGTACAGTGTACACCCAATGTACATATTCGTCTTGTACTTCCTGCTCAAATACAATGTGCGTACATATTCGTCTTATACTTGAGTGTGCAGCATCTGGTATAAGACAACAGGCCTGTTTGCAACACCAAGTATTATACAGTAAGACAGTGAGTACCAATCAGGCTATAGTGTGCAACAGCTAGCCAAGTAAGAGAACTCTGGGCGATGCGTGGGTGATTAAAACGTCCCGTTTGAAGATAGTTTCATTTCTTGCACACACTCGCTGATGCTTCACGGCATCCTGTGTCTCTGGAGAACAATGCTCCGTCCCCGTCTTGCGTCATGCAGTTATCTTTCACCATTTAAACAATGGCTGTGTGTAACCTGGCCGCCGCTTAGACGGCTAAACTTGCCGCTGTGATGCGGATAAGAAGGATGGATTTCCTGTAAAAAACATTTCTAGGCTAAAAACATTTGGCATATATAAGTCATCTTTAGCTCCGTTCATAAAGCGCTTGCCTTTCAAAACGCAAGCGTTCCCGACAAAGGCCGGTTCACGTTCTGGTATATTTTAACGACGCATGATGTATGACCAATCAACTTCTTGTTCTTTAACAATAATCAGAAATTTTGTGTTCCATCGCTCGGAGTTGGCCCATTCCATGTACCTACAAAGCCCAGTCTTCGCAGTTGATCCCAACTACTTGTCAATAGTTTACTTTCGGTAGTTAGTTACTTTTACAGGAAACATACCGTCGTTTGTTTCAACACTTTTCATAATTAGCGCACCAGTTTTAGGACAAACACTTGACACTGTTGGCACCCTCCAGGTGCCGTTCAATCAAAACTCGCTTAATTACACGTAGTGGCAGATTCCCAGTCTTTTATTCGTGGGTTTAGCTTGAAAAGCAGTCAGTGATTGGCTAAGGGTGTTACGACCTCTTTACTATTTTTTTTTTATGGTAAACCCGTTAGCCACTCGCTTTACTAAGCAACTTTTTACAGTTAACCCACCCTAGGTCAGGTATCATTGCTACACTGAGGATGCCTTCTCAAAACTCGAAGGGGGAAAAATATTCAATTGAAGAGTGTTTAGCCTTTCGGGCGACAAATTGTGTGGATGAAACGCGTTTGACCTATTTTTACGACTTCTACATCTATACCTAGCTCTCTAATCTCTAAATTGAATATGAAAGAGAATGCCGCTTGCACAACAAAGATATTCTGGAAGATACTTGCCAAATTAATTCTCATTGAAAAGAATTTAGTCAAATAAAACCGCGTACAAAACCTCTATTCACCACATGCTATGGCAACAAAAGGCATGTTGTTGTTCTACATATATACCATGCACGTGTAATACAATTTCATAACTTAGCTAATGAATTGTGCATGGCATTGCTGCAATCCGGTCTCTGGGTTATTGTCCATGAGATTGTCCAGTAGGGTTATTGCACGTTTCTTCTATTCTTGAAACCTGGTCGGCAGTCTGTCCTAATATAAGGTAGTGTGGATACATGCACTCGCATGAAAAGAGTCATCCACTGGGCGGTGCTGACCACCACCAATCCTGCCGTCGTTGTAGCTCGTGTGCAGGCTATGTACTCAGCAGCATGACTCCGGAAGTCAGCCAATTACGGCCCTGTGTTTCCTATGCGCCAGTATGCGGGTTGCTCTGTTGCTCTCATTGGCGAGACTTGATCGCCACAAAGTAAGTCGTTGGGATAGTTTAGTGCATATTTCTGGGATAAAAGTAAATCGATGAGGTAAATGACAAAATTATTTCATCTGAGCCGAGGCAAGATAGTTGAGCAAGTTCGAAACTAGACGACGAAGGCAATTTCTTTTTAACATGGTTAGTTTTTTATGAACTTTAGCTCTTTGTGAACTTGTATGCGCAGACGAGATAAGTGACGTGTTGGACTGTAAAACTGTTGTATTAAGATGTGGTATAATAAATCTGCAATTCAACTCCCTGAAAATTTATATCGTGAATTCTCTGGTCATTAATGGCACAGGCAAAAACTGTGGTTGTATATACATCTAGAACCAAATAGTCTTTTGTGCAGAAGTGCCAGTCGATTTGTACTAATCGCGCATATGTTTTTTCGTACACCAGCACATATACTAGATGGTTGGTGCCCCTTTACTAAATGATGCTCATAAATTCGCTGGTAGTCAATCACTCTGCTGGGTCCTCTCTTTATCCTTATTACATTTCCGATTTCAGTGCAACATTTCTTCATATTCAGGCTTTCTCATAAAGTTTTCATTCTAGTATAGATATTGTACAAACAAATAAGTGCGTTTCAAAACAGCTTGATCCTATCTCTATTCGGATCCTATTCCCTGGTAATGTCGAGCCTGGGCGTAGAGTTTCAACGTTTTTCCTACCCTCTCAGCAGCAGCCAACCCTAAGTTATGACTGCTAAGGAAAAAACAGCTGCTGCTCATGAAAACGGCTGGTGGGGCATCAGCTTTCATGTGAGCTGCTGGCGTACAAACGAAAATTCATGACTGCGCGCGGTGTTGTAGTTGTGGGCGCGTCGAGCGTGGGACTCGCTGGCTTCTGTTGGCTTACACAAATACGAGAAATGTTATAAATTTTACTGGCGTTATTGCTTGGAGTGAAATAAATGAGCTAGTTCGTATTCGTGATAACGGTTCATATCATTTTAGAGATGAGAACTTCTGCAAAGACATGTGGAGCAGCCTCTCTGATGACGTTGACGCTCCGCGTTTGAACGTGTTCCAGAACAGACTTGACAAATGACAATGCTATGCGGGATCATATGTTCAGTCTTGCAATGCCTAGCACCTTACAGACCTCTGATAAGAAGTCTATCAGCACGGTATCTTAAACCAACGTCAGTTTTATAGAGATCTGTTCAAAAGGCCAGTTGTTTGGTCTTCTTTGAACAAGTCAAGAAAAGTACAAGAATCGACAACAGACTATGAGCCTATTACTTCAGCGATGACACTTTCTATTCGTTTCTTAAGCACCGTGATTTATTTTGAATTTGATGGTATAACATAATGCACGCTAAAATACAGAATTTCTAATTCCAAAAAATATTTATATCGTAAAAATACGATTATTAACTTTAATACCTATCAGTGTTACTCATTATTAGTATGAAATGTATGGTTTGTTACAAAAATCAGACAACCGTCTCACGCTGTGAGATACTCATATATAAGAACTTGACTCTAAAATAAATGCTTATTCTATCTTCATATTATTGCAATATTATTCTAAACCCGCGACTCCCGGTTAAAACTAGATCGATTATTTGAAAAATATAAATTTATTTGACGATCAATCAACATTGAATTTTTAAATCTAATTTGATATAATATCAAGAAGAGATAGAATGAATGTATTATGCACACGTACGTTGGCATGACGTTAGCAATCTAGTGCTGCGAGATCAATTAGAAAATTCTGCCCTCAGAGAAGGCACGCAATTTAGCTGATAGTCTACGACTGCGAGGAGCCGTCGGCAGCGGCTAGGCTGCCTCCAGCGTCCACTTGTCCTCATCAGAGTAATTCGATGCAATGAATGAGGCGCGCCTCATGAGGCGTTGCCACAGCCATCAGTAGCGCGCCTCATGAGGCGTTGCCACAGCCATCAGGAGCGCGCCTCATGAGGCGTTGCCACAGCCATCAGTAGCGCGCCTCATGAGGCGTTGCCACAGCCATCAGGAGCGCGCCTCATGAGGC